ATATATTTTACTGAAAATAAAGCTTTTTGTTTCCAACATTAATATTGAATCTCATATTTCATAACCAGATTTCTATTATCAGAATGTTTAAATATGCATACATCAATCTCATACACACATACACACACACACACACACACACACAGACGCGCGCATCATCACATACACATTAGTGATATAAGATCATATTCACCTCTTTGTTACTTTTATCATATTCCAAATTAATATAATATTCGTTTATAAATTGCTCGCACATAATTATTGATAAAACCGTAGTAATTATGTTCTCAAAAGTATCACGACGAGATATGTAGCAATCAGCAGTTACTCTTGCACTGTGCAATATATGACTTTGTGAAAAAAAATGTATGATATTTCAGTACTTAGACAAAGCGTTAAACTTAGTACTTAGATAAAGTGTTAACATAAGGCATTTGATTGATAATATTATATTTGATAATATTATTAATAAACGAGATAAAAAACAATGCATATACCTTTATATTGTACGAATGATCTAAGCTCTCTCTCTCTCTCTCTCTCTCTCTCTCTCTCTCTCTTTCTCTTGATATACTGTTCTATATATGTATAGAGATCGGAACATAAAATTTCTTTGGGAACAATTGTCTATGTTTATGTGACATTTTTTTGTTACTCGCAAAATAAAATATTTAATAAGAAATAAATCTCTCAATTATTATATCACTTGATCTTCTTCTCTAATTAATTAACTCTCTATACTGTACAGAAATCGATCTTGATCTGAATTTTCAAGTGTTTTCAAGTTATTTCGGATACGTTTTCGTTATTTTCGAATCGAACTGTTTGAAAAGCAAATCAAGTATTCTGCCAAACTATGAAAAATCTCCAGATTAAACTCAAATTAAGGTGCCTTTTCATGTTAACGCTTGACCAGGATTGCCAGATACTTGACAGGCGTCGTTGCAAATGGAGGGCACTCGTGTCGTCCAAAAGTTGCCCAACTGAAACGCGCTTTTAAGAAAAAAAAGAGAACAAAAGGAAAAAAGAGTGAAGCCTGCGGTACATGATACTTGTTTTCCTGCTAGATTATTGCTAGCTGAATTAGAATCTTGTCACCGTATTGGCTGCGATACTGACAGCACCGCAATCAAAGTATTGCGTGCCGCAGGCTTAAGACACTCTCTAAGTATCATAAAATCTTATCCCTAGGCTAAAAAGAAAAGAGAAAATTTTAATCATTAAAGTTAAAAGGAGAAATTTTTCACTTTTCACTTTTTATCCTACGAAAAAGTTTCATGATCGATATCTTTGATATCACCCGATCCACCCGACGCTTGCAATTCCAGAAAAATGACGTTAATATAACGTTCATTTCACGTCGAACAAATTGATAATCAAATGGCAGGCCTATGGTACTGAATAGGTTTTCTGTAGTTTAATGTGACTTCCTTGTTGTCCGAAATCCGCTGGAAACGGATCCGAATTCGGTGGTAGTAACTTAGTCCAGGGTATCGATTATGTAAAGTTTCTCCTAGGAATAAATACACAAAAAGTGAACAAATTCACGTGAATGTAATGAATAAACGATTAAATAACTTTTGGCTATTATAAAATGTGAAATAATTCACGAGAAATTTTTCGGCAAGTAACGAAATGTGAAATTCTAATTATTTTTTAGTAAATTAATATAAATTAACTTGTTTTTCGATCTTTTAGTTTTTGGTCGATCTTTTCTATTCCTGTATTAGACTGCATTAGAACTCTCTCGCTTTCGAGATATCAAACATATTTGAATATCTATTTGAAATATATATTTGAAATGAATATTACATGGTTTTTCACCATAAATGGTGCTAACAAAGAGGAAGAGCATATAGTTGAGAGGCGAAAACTTCGCATATTAAGAAAACGTTTGCGTAATGTTAAATTAAATATATGAGTAAGATAAAAGATAAAAATAAAGTGCATAAAAATAACATGAAAATTTAAAAATGAGAATTATAATAAAAAATAGAAATTTATGAAACAAATTAAAAAATAAAGAGGAAAGGAGTAAAAATGGCGGATATGTGAATACTTACGTTTATAGTATCTTAGATAAGGACTCCACGGTTCGTCACGCCAGTAGTATTTTTTGACTCCAAACTCTTTCTGCTGTGTGTGTGTGTGTGTGTGTGTGTGTGTGTGTGTGTGTGTGTGTGTGTGTGTGTGCGTGCGTGCGTGCGTGCGTGCGTGCATGCGCGCGCGCGCGCGCGCGCGCGTGTGTGTGTGTGTGTGTGTGTGTGTGAAAAAACTTTCCGCGAATGAGGAATCCGATTAAGACGCTGTCGCCACAATCTTTCAACATCAGTGAATAAACCTTGACACTCACCCAAAATTAGCAATATATACTTCTTTATTTGAATAAGACATAAATCCATGAAAACTTTGAGAAGTAAAAATAATGAATATGTTTATCTCTGATTCACTTTTATAGCAACATAGAAAAGTCTCTACTGAGGTTGAATATTTATTACTAGAACCCGGACGTTTAGGCTCAGTCCCAACGGGCTGCGCGAAGAGCCGTTGCGTGTAAATGAGTCGGACTTATTAAAGCGACACAGCAACAAAGCTATCACGCGGTCAGTTTTAATAAGAAAACGGTGATCATTTTGAACAACTCTCGTAAACAAGTAAACATTTACCTATTCAGAAACATCAACATATGCAAGTACACGTACGCATGTAGATGCCCGCGCGCGCATACTCGTGATTCAGAAATATTAGATCAAAATAATTCGCGTTTATACCAAGTGTATCAAGTGATTTGGTACGGATATAGTACTTAATATGCATATCAAGTACTCGGTATAAACTATAATGCATCTTAAATTCTCTTTCTATAAAAAGAAAAACAAGTATGTTAAACAAGGAAAGATTCAAACTTCACGCGAAGCAGATTGGTATTCATAGTCAATTCTTACATTTAAAACTCATAAGTACAATTGTCATAAGTACAATCTTAAGATGTCGTAAGTCAATCCGAAGACTGCATTAACATTTTAAAATATTATAGATTTACTCGCGTCGCAAGCTCCAAATTATCCCAGAGAACACTTGGATCATAGGTAAAGATGAAGAGCAGTTTACTTGCACACTGTAGCAATTGCCC